GGTGGATCAGCACCACACTGACCACGGTGGAGGAACAAGACCTGCCTGGAGCAGAAGCAGCCACTGCAGGTCCCTCCCACACACAGGCTCTCCACTGCCACCTCCTCCAGCCTTGCCATGCAAGGTCTCCCAGCACCAGCTTCTTCTCTCCCCAGAATTACTTTTCTAAGCCAAAGCCTGGGCTATGCTGCATAGCCGCCCCTGCCTACAGGACACAGCTCAACTCCTTGGCAAATCCAGTGAGGCCCCACTCTGTTCTGGCACTGTGGAGCCACTGTGCCTCTAAGCCGCCGGCACCCCAGGATCTGGACTGTGGAGAAACAGCGGGCTGCTCCCCTCCCATCAGTTTGAACAGCACCACCTCTATCTCCAGCCTTCCCTCAGCTCCCTGGAGCATGAAAACCTTAAAACTGCCATACCTTCTGCAAGGCTCCTCCGAGTGTCCTCCTTCCAGCTGGCCTCGGGGGTCAGTGGACTCACAGAGGGCCCACGATGCTGAGGTGAACGCATATTTTTTACACGTTCCCTCAAGAGCCAACTCCACAAGACCATGTTGAGTCAATAAACCTTGTACGTGATTTTCTTAAGCCCTCACTTCTACATGCACACAACTGAAATTCTAATGGTGAAAATGTGTTATTAAGAGAAATTACTTATGTAAAGCACTAAATACACTGCTTGGAACCCAGTAAAATCTCATTAAGTGTTGGCTATTATAATTATATCAGATACTCATGAAATGCTTCTTAATCAAAGAGCCTCTAATCTCTATTAACCTGGGGCAAATTACAACCTCACTTAGCTCTGTTTTTGCACCTCTAACTTCAGGGAATGAGCAGTATTGGGGAGGTAGAGAGAGCCAACACAGAAAACAATCAGAAAGCAATTAAGTGCTAAATGATGTAGTAATGACAGGATGTCTGAGAAGTGAAAACTGCTTCCCTAACTTGAGAAATGTGTGGGACAGTAACTACATTTCCCCTATCATCATTACTACAAGGTCAAGATGCCCAAACACAAAACTAAAAAGGTGTCCCCTATGCTTCACACCTTACAAAGACATAAGGTAAAATAATAGTTAAAACCTCACTTAAAAATAACAGAGAGAGAGAAAGCTGGACATCAATTAACATGAGAGATGCCAGGGAGTAAGTCTGCAGATATTGCAGGGCTGCCCACCACGCACTCCACACACTGCTAACAGTATTCTCACTCCCCGTGGACTCCACCAAGGGCCCTGGACTCCATTCAGCACCCCACCCCCTTTCTAACAACATGCCCCAGGATCACTGCTCACTCAGCCTCCCATCGTTCTGACTCTATAGAGCAGATCTTTCCTGCCCCAGCAGCGAGACACAACTGAAGGAGCACCACAGAGTGACCGGCAACAAAATTCATATGGTTCTGCTCACGTCTAAGGCCCTCTGCGTGTTACAGAACTTACCATTATTACTAAAACTCTGGCTTAAAACACCTTAAGTGGCCAGGAAAGTATCTTTAAATTTCAGCTTAAGAAATGCAGTTTTATAATAAAAACTTCTTGCCACAGTATTCAGAAACACCTTACTTTAGACATTCCACATCTAAAATTATGCAATGAAGCAGGGAGGTGGATCTGAATCCAGCACTTTCATTCTTTCCCCTTTAAGACAAGTCCTACAATGTCTAGGCAAAGATGACCAGCAATGGACACCAGGAGTCCAGGGGAAACCAGCCAGAAGGGACTGAGGGAGCAGGAGAAAAAAGGTGACATTAGGAGAACAGAAATGACAGGTCGCGGTGAGAAAATAGACTTATCAGAGATAGACGCATGTATCTTTGGTACAAGAGGAATGGCTGTCTTATCCCTCAGAAATGGAATCTCGAGGAAGACATGCTGGTTCCAAAAACAAGCCAGACACTGAAACAAAGCAGGGTTAAGACAAAAGAACTAACAAAAGTAGGGAAAGCTTGAAGTCACAGTCACAAAATGTGTTTGCAGTACATGAGGATAACTTCAAAGATGGCGCCCTGCACAGGTATCCTGCACAGAAGAGTGCTCAACAAAGGCTAGAGAGACAGGGCCGCTGGATTCACACACACTTTTTTTTGTTACCACCATTAGTTTCAACAAACTCATAAGTCAGCTCACTGGGAGGAATTTAAGGGTGGCTAAGAAACTGGGCAGCCTACTGATGGTCACACACATGAGAACTCAGTTTTGCACCAAGCTTCTGAGTGCTCACAACATGCAAGATGCTGTCCCAGGTTCAACCATAAACCCCTGCCCTCGTGGAGCTTGTGCTGGGGACACAGACCAGAAAGAAGCAAGTATACAGTCTGAACTTATATAAGTGCTCTAAAGGTAGGAAAAAACAATGAAGCATATAAGAAAGAATGATGGGAAGGGACAGTTATATGAGACGATGTCACCAGGAGATCAATAAGTCATCCACTGAATTCTAAGGGAAGGTGACACAGTGTAGTTCAACTTTTTTAAAGTAGGAAGGCTTGCACACTTTTGCTTTGCTGCATAAGCAGTAGAATGGTGCCAGAAAACTCACAGGAAGAGCACACGTCTGGAGGTGTTTAAGGGGTGGTGCACACTGACAAGAAAATCAACTGCACCTGAACTCAGGCACTATGGAGCATCACCATGCGGGTGGTCTTTGCTTTTCACGTTGCTTCCAACTTGAACATTAGCACTGTATCAGGAAAGGGAAAACGCTGGAGCAGGCATATGTTTCAGGGAAGAGGAGGAAGCACAGAAGGAGACCTGTCTAAGAGTTAGCAACAGTCATTCAATGTAGGAAGAGCTGTGAATTTTGCAAAATCTACTGCAGTCATAGGTCAAGGCTCTGTGCTCACAGGGGTGAGCACAACACCAGGGCACTTCAGCTCCACCATCAGGGATCCCATCGAATGCAGCTGCAGGACAGGGCAGGGGAAGGAGGCTTGGGAAAGGATGGTGAGACTGTCCCCTATTGGGGCCACGCTAATGACAACAGCTCTGCAGCCTCCTCTGAAAAGGGCAGTGTTGAGAGCTTGTCAGAAAGCTGGGCCAGCGCTGAGGACAGAGGTTCAGGGCTAGCGAGAGGCTGGACAACGAGGTAAGTGACCCTATCTAACCTGTTGACTAACCCACTGGGAAGTGTGGTACTTTCTCCACCCCACACTCTCCACATGGGGACTAAAGTCATCTGCTTCCCACAAGATTGCCAACAGCTCATGCAATCACAGGTCCTTTCATCTCTATATTCCCCGTGGCTGGCAAGAAAAAAAAAAAAAATGGCAGCTCAATAAATGTTTAACAAGGCTATGTTTTAATTATGTAAATAAAAAAGAAGGAGTAAATAACTGAAGATTTGGTATATGACAGAAACAGAATGGGCCAGACCCCTGCCCAGTGTCCAAAACAAGCTGTGGTCGGCTCATACCGGACTGAACAGGAAGCGGCCAGCAACTGCAGCTAACTGGCCACACAGCCCTGAGAGGGTTATTCCAACACTGACTCTCAATGTGTAAAATGAAGATGTTGGACCAAATGAGAGGTTGCAGACCGTTCAGCAGAAAGTGTCTGTCATTATCCTGAAGCCTGCTGTCAGGGAGAGGCTGTAGGTTTCCTTCTGGCTGTGCTTCCAAGCAAATTACAGACAGGAGAGCATCTGACTCCCATGCCAGCCACGCCACGACCTCTGAGGCCTGTCCGCGGGAGTGGCACTGCAGCAGGTGAGGTGAGACGCACTGGAGAAGAGCAGCAGGGCAGCAGAGAGCAGGAGCAGTGAGTTACACAGCTCAGAGGTGGAACAAATGGCCCAGAGAAAGACTGAATGCAACAAGTATCTGTGTCTCCAGGTGGCTGTTCATGTCTGGCATGTGCACACCCACATACCCTCCGTGAAATACATGAGGGAGAAACAGATTTCACACAACCTCAAAACTGATGAATTTAAATCCTGTTAGAGAAAATGATTACCAATAAGCAAGGCCACGTTGAGCCCCTGAAATGTTTATTTACTGCATTTACAAAGTGTTATCTGATTGCATTTTGAGCTTCTGAGAATTTACCAGTTCAGCCAGTAGAAATCCCTGACATTTCCAAAACCCATAATTTCCCATACCAAGCTAAACTCGTTCAGTGTTACCAGAAAACCCACAGATTTTGCAGCAAAGAACGAAAACTCAGTTCTACAAAGAAAATCTTCCGGCTCTGGAAAGGAATACAAAAAGCACTTAAACATTTCTAGTTGAATGACTTTTCACTCAGTCCTTAATAACCGCATTCTGAAACCCCTGGAAGGTACTCAGTTACACATTCTACATTTCAACGCCTAGAATTATGCAGCTTGAAGCACTGAGTGATCTAAATTTATGATCTAAATCAAATTTAAGAAAGCTAAAGGCCAAGCTCATGTACCTGAAATGCCTACAAGATAATAAATGCGGGAGAAAACTGGGTAGCTTTTCCTCTTCTAAGCTAAATAAAGCCTGAGGGAGGGGTACAGAGATCCCCCTGAAGATAATCTCTGCGATTATACAGAGCAGGCCATTCAATCAATCCCACACGAACTAAGGAAAGTTAATCCAAGCAGAATAACAATACTTGCAATGTTGGGGGGGAAACGCACAGTTCTGATTTCTAAAACACTGAGGCTCTGGAGAGCATTATCGATCCTTCTAAGAAGCCAGAGCATTTGACAAGTGTTTCTGGACAGTGATTGTCTGCGCTCACTACAGGACGAGCCAGGTAGGATCCCAGTCCCCAGGTCCAGCTCGCCTCGCCGCCTCCCTGCATCCACCGACTTCCTGCACACCTTGGGGTGGCCGCGCCGACTTCCTGCACCACACCTGGCTGGGAGGCTCCCTCTGTCTGCGAAGCTGGACGAGCTCGAAGTGGGAAGCAGGACTGATTAGATTCCCCGGCAGCCGGGCCCGAATCCCGGAGCGCCCGGGCCGGCCACCTGCGCCCCACCCGACCACCTGCACCCCGCCGCGGCCCGCCAGCGCCCGGCGCCGCTCACCTCGGGCAGCTCGCGGAGCTGGTTGGCGTCCAGCAGCAGCTCCTCCAGGCTGCGCGCGTAGCGGTACACCTCCTCGGGCACACACACCAGCGAGCAGTGGCGCCGGTCCAGGCTCTCCACATGACGGTTGCACCGCCACAAGGGGATGCAGTGGAACATCGCCGCCCGCGCGAGCCGGCGCCCGCCGCGGACCTGGGTCCCAGCCCGCTCGGCTCGCTCCGCCCGCGGCCGGCTGTGCGATGGTGTCGCCGGGGCTCCCGGGCCGCTCGCAGCGCGGAACCTCGGGCGGGAGCCCAGCCAGGCCCCACCCACTCCCGCCCGCCCTCGTGGCCCCGCCCACTCCACCCCTGCCGGCTCGGCCCCGCCCACCCCCACCCGACGGCCAGCGCGGCCCCGCCCACCCGCCTCTGCCTGCCGGCACGGCCCCACCCTCCTGCACGGCCCCGCCCACTCCCGCTCCTCCGACTGCCGGCCCGGCCCCGCCCACCCCGCCCACCAGCGTCGTCGTCGCGCACGGAGCCTGCGCGCCGCGGGGCCGTGCCGAGGGGCTTCCTGCGGGAGGTGCTGTCCGGAGTGGGTTTCGGCGGTCTTGGCCGGGTCACGCGTCGAACCCTTTAAGGAAGCCTCAGAGGAGGCTTGAGACAAAGACGGGGAGGCCTGAGGCAGCCGACCCGCTGTACTGTAGTCTTCCCTCCGGTCGCTCGCTCCCCTTCCCTTGACTGCGTTCCCTTCCGGGTCAGGGGCTGCCCCGGGCCCCTCGCAGCCGCGCTTCCCGCGGCGTGCCTGGCCCTACGCTTGGCGCCCCGTGGCCGTGGCCGTGTCCGCGTCCCGGCTGCAAGCTGCGGGAAGCCAAGCGTGCCGCTCCAGAGTCGGGGTGGGGACCGGCGGGTGGCAGCCCGGGACTCTGAAGACCACAGGCGCTCCCGACCAGCTCCGGGGTGAGCTTCCCAGAGGTCGGCGCCCCTGGACTCCCTGATTCCTCGCTCTCGCCGAGGCCCCAGCTCGCCCACCGCCCCTCCACCCTGGAGCAGCCACAGCGGAGACCTGGAGCCCCGAGCGTGCTCCATACCCGGCCATTTGGATCTGTCTGACCGGCTCCCTGTGTGGGCACTCATTTCAGTTCTGCCTCAGCGGTGAGGAGCGGCCTGACTACCCCAGCATTATCACCTAAACGGGGCCCCTAAACTCCTTACCATTTCATCCTTTCTTTTTTTTAGGGGAGGAGGGGAATGCCCTGGTGTGATTCTTAAAACTCCCTAGACTTTGAACCCTATCCCTCCTTCATTCTTGCGTAGGAGAAACATTTATGGCACTCCTCTCATTTTTTCTGCCAGCCTTCCTGGAAAACGGTGGTTCCTGAATGAAAGATGTCTAGAGAGAGAAACAAGTCTCCACCTTTGCAAGTTTTCGTACTGCTTTCAAAGAGCTAAATGAAGCAGAATGCAGTTTAATGTTTGTCAGAGCTAATCGCACCGGGTTATTTTGATAAATGCAGTTTAAAGACATGACTAGTCTTTTAAAAATTCCAACCTCACTAATCATTTTCCCTGTGCCTCAAAATTTTACATTTCTGTGTGCTGAGGATACTTGTGTAGCACCTCAGTCCTCAAAGAGATGGTGAGCTCTTAGCAGATACCCTCTCCCTAGCCTTACTAATCTTGAGAACTACCACAGCACAGTATGCACACTGTTTACCTGCCAGGTTTTTGGATTGACTTTAGGCAATCAATGGAAGAATTCCTGACTTAACTTCTTTCCAAAGATTGCCAACAATTAGATACAGTCTCGTAAGAGAAAAATATCAACACCTTGTCAACAATAAGGAACAAATTAACTATTTACATAGATTTAAAGGTTCCTTTCTTATAATTTCTGCTTTCTTTTCCCAAATACAAATGCTGACTCAGTTTAAACAAAAGCCTATCCAAATCAATTTCTTACTATAATTCATTCATCTTCACTATGAACTATTTTATATAGCCTTCAGAGCTGTTAGGACTCTGGCCCTGCCAATCAGGAGCTTTGTAGAATGAGACAGTTTTTTAAATCTATAAACTTCAGTTTTATTGTCTCTCAGAGGGTGACAGCCATGAGTTGTTACCAGGATTAAAATGTGTAGTACAGTGTCAAAACGCACATTCATCAAAGAAATAACCAGTGAATGGTACATAAGACAACCTCTAGCATGGCCCACAACCGTGTCATCTCCTGGTTGGTCTCTGTACCTACCATTTAATTCTCTCAGATCGATCACTTTCAGGAAACCATCTGCTGTGTGACATTGCTGGCGGTGGCTAGCAAGGAACGAGTGGTTTCTCTCCCACAGCTTTAGGAGTAGCTCAGGGGATTTTGAAAGACTTTGTTTCAGCTCCACACAAGTCTTCAAATGGACACAGCTCACTGACAGCTTTACTAAAGGAGCTCCACCCAAGACCGTCCAGCTAACTCAGCAGCTCCCCCACCTTGACCCTCAGACACTGTAATGCAGTGAATGTCTGCTGTTGTAGTTTGCTAAGAATTGGAGTAATTTATTGTACACACAGGTAAGTAATAAACGTGCATACCGGGCATTGTTCTCATAATAGCATCCAACAGTGATAGGATCTTAGCAAGGTGCATAAGGTTAAGAGAGTGATGAATGTCCAGTTCATGGTTTCTACCTTCATCACTAGTTTTTTACCAAAGTATTAGTCCAGTTAGAAACAGAAGGTGAGGGAACCACTCCATTCCCTTGATTCGACTGTAAACAACACCACCCTAGTGTTCGTGGACTCCCATGAGAGACAGATGGGACACTGCAGTCAGAGGTGTCTGGCTGCAGTGGGAGGCACCTGGAGTTAGAAGCATGTGACTTTAAATACTGGAAACCAAGTTACCACAGGTTCCTCTTCCACCTTTTACCCTCTACCCTTCCGCCTGTTCGCCATCTCATGATCTTCAATAAACGTAGCCGCTTACTGCAAGGTGTAGACTTGGCAATTCTGTCCTTGTACACAGGGACTATTTTGGCCCATTGAACTGTAACAATATGCTCCGTAGGGTTTTTTAAGTGAAAGTCCAAGAGGTGGCTGGTAAGGTAGGAGCAGAATGGAGATCCAGAAGTTTGAACATGAAAATTTTAGAGTAAAATACTACCCCCTACCCAGTAAAATGACTTAAAAAAAAAAAGACTAACATAATCTCAAGTATCATTTAAGGTTTAAGTGAACTGGAACTCATGCATTGATGGTGGGAACATAGAATAATAATTATATAAAACAAATTTTCTTATAAGCCTGTGGCTACCCAATGATACCCAGGTTATTTATACACACACACACACACACAAAGCATGTGTCCACAACAGTTTTTTATAAATGTTGATGTCAGTTTTGTTAATTCTAGCCAACACCTGGATATAATCCAAATATTCATCAACAGAAATACATTGCCTTTAAAATGTAGCATATTAAAACAATGAAGTACAACTCAAAAAGAGATGAACTACTAATATATGACTGGATGAATCTCTAAAATCACTGTATCAAGCAAAAGAAATCAGAGCAAAGAACTTTTCAGATTCTATAATTTATATAAAATTTTAGAAAATGCAAATTCATATTAAGTGACACAATCTACATCATCAGATGCATGCATTTGGGTTTGTGGAAAGAATTTAAGGGGAAACACTAATAGCAAATGGCATGAGGGAACTTTTGGGGATGTTGGAAATATAATTGCAGTAGTTAAACATATATACATTTATTAAATTCATAATACAGTACACTTACTATGGAAACCTTTTATAATGTAAAATTTATATATAAAAAATCACCAAGCATAAAGTTGTAGTCCTGTAATTCTGGCATTCCCAAAAGCTGATGCAGGAAGATTACAATTTCGAATCCAGCTTGGGCAACTTAGCAAGACCCTGACTCAAAAAATAAAAACTGTTGGGGATATAACTCAGTACAAAAGCCCTGGGTTCAAAGCTCCCCCCAACCTTAAAATTTAAAAATTAACAAATAGTATACTGCTGAATATATTTAAAGGACAGTTGTAAGTTATATTTAGGGCTAAGGGCCATGTTGTGGTAGCTGGTTAACAAGTATTTGAGTGTCCCCTATATGCTGGATACTGGATTAACTGCTAGGAAGACAAAAAACAAGACAGAACTTCTAGTCCTACTGGAACAAAGGCAGTTATCAAGGAAATTGTAAGAGGTATAGCACAATTGTAGTGAGATCCAGAGTTTTTCTTACTCTAGAAAATCTAGAAACCTGACCATCTTGTCCTGTAAAGGGTCACTGCAGTGGTTCTCTGAGGTGTTTATGTACAGACCAATTAGCAAATTAAACCTTACTATATGCACAGCAGGGCACTGGGGAAACAGCAGAATTTGCACAAGGGTCATAGCGCTCACTTGGATTTATAACTTAAACCAATTTCTCACTTAGTTTTCCAGCTGTTATTAGCAGTTCTTGTCCACTTATCTACAAAGTGAGCTGTTTGTACTGAGTGGGCTGATGCTGTGGGCCAGTAGCTATGTTGCCTATCAACAGTACCAAGGATAATAATTAACCCTGGGTTTGATTACTAGATCTTTTAATTAAGGTCTCTACCAACAGGGCAGTAGGTGAATGATACCAAGTCTCCGTCCCATATATTGACTGGAAGTCAAACTCCAGGCATCCTGCTCATAATTATTATTGTGGAGAAATTCAGACATGGTACAATGGGTTAGATAACAAGTAGTACATGAGAACATATTTTCTTGCCATTCTGTCTTTCCTGTCAGTGGTACATGAGGGTCATAAACACATACGTTTTTTCCTTTTATACCTATGATCTTGCAATATTATTTTGACTTTTCTTCCACTTACTGACTGCAAATGCCCAGTCTGCAGCCATCCAGCATGAAAAGGCAGGGCTAATTTCCATAAAGTGTGCTATATGGGTCCAGCCTTGTCATTGATGGTAAGTCTAGGAATAGGAGAGTTGACCATGTAGCATTGAACAAGGCTTCTGACATCACTGTACTATCAGAAGAGCCTGAAAAAGAAATCTCATGCCAATCTCTATCCTTTCCCATGAGAAATCCTCGGGGGGACCAATCTATGAAAGAGTAATTAAACTTGCATATAACTGTCCATGGTATGTGTCTCTGCAAGACTGCCAAGGGCCCAAATCACCTTTGAAATGAGCATGAGCTACTGGAATACAGATAGAAATGTGAGGTTTAAAATCTCCCCCAATAAGGTTACCAGCTGAGGGAATAGAAGTTAAGGTCAGTAAGGTAAATTGTCCTTTAGACAGTTGTATTTTCCAAGTCTGATCTACAGCTGACATACATGGACTAGAACCTTGCTATAGATGAGCTAAACATAAGAGGTAATACTTAGTTTCGCTTGTTCTTGTAAATGCATAAAAATATAAGGGCCCGACAGAATAGTAAATGTAGGATTTTGGATTTCTATAGACTGGAAAATTTCTAGTGGCTTGTCTGTCTAAGTTAGGGGTCTGAGCAGAGGCGGATTAGGTAGCTAAGCTCAGTACTCCTCTCCCTGAACCATAGGAATACATACTATAACTGTTAGGAGAGGAATCATTGTAAAGATAAAATTATCAGGAGATTGAACAAAACCCTGGCTGTTAAGTAGGTGACAAGCCCCAGGAATGGCCTGCTGCAGGCCTTCCCAGGATAATGACGAGGTGCTGTCAGGTACATTGCTAAATGGCTCAACGTGTTCTGCAGGGAGCTGGATTCTGGCCATGCAACAGCTCTGATGGTCATAAAGTCTGCAGATAATCTGTGGAAATATAACAATATTCTCAGCCCCGATTTATTTTTTTTTCTTTTTATTTTTAACACCATATATTCATTAGAAAAAAGGAGAGTTATGAAATATCCTCCTATCTTTCCTTAAGAAATTAGAAATAAAGACAAAATAAAATAGAAATTAATAAAGATCAGAAAACACAATCCTTTATCAAAATGCCTGCATCATTTTTCATAAAAATTAACATTTTGATTTTTACATTTCTGTAGAAATACAAAAGACTCAGAATAGTCTGAACAACTTTGATAAAGGAACAAAATCAGAGCTCCAGCCCTCCCCAATCCCATGACATCACAGAGTTACACCAATCGTGACAGAACCACATTGATACCAAGAGACACAAACCACTAAGGTACCAAAATGAAGTCCTAAAATACCCACATAGCAGACAGTTGATTTCTGGCAAAGATGCAAAAGCAATGAAGTGGAGAAAGGATTGGACCCTCAATAAACGCACTGGAACTGGCTATCCACATGCAAAAAACCTAAACCTTACAGCACATCAAAAATGTCTGAAGACATCCAGAAGTCAACTCAAAGTGGCTCACAGTGGGTTAGTTAAAGTCAAGGCAGGTGTGACCTGAGTTGTTTCCTCAGCCCCAAAAGTGATGCTGGACCATTCCAAACACCTGTTCAGAGGTCGGGCCAAACTAGAGCATGCAAGGACTTCAGAGAATGGTCCGATTCTTGTCCCCAGTGTTTCATATTCTTCATGAATAATGAACTGATTCTCTCTATTTTTCAAAAGGCTTCGTTTATTTGTGTCAGCCCATTGCTGTGGAGATTAGGATTGTTTGGCATGGCTTTGTGAGGGCTGTTTTCCCTTTCAGTTGACTGACTGACTGACTGACTATGTGGTTGTCAAAGCAGAATGCTTTTTAATGTAAATTTGTTGCTGTCTGTGTCTTTAGCTAAGATAATTTGTAAGGACCTGAGAACTATTTTTACTAAATTAAACATAGTTACAGTTTCTGGGTAGAATTGTTTATTTTTTCAAATTTTGGCTTCATGAAGGGTTTTACCTATCTTATCCCAAACTCTAATATTAAGTGTACAGGCTTTAGAGAAGGAAGAGTAGAACATAATTATTTGGTGGAGCCGTCTAAAAACTATCTTAGGTGGTACATTAATATCTACATCTGTTAATAACTGTATAAACAGTAGACTGAAATCTTTCACTTCTGCAGTTAATGAATACTTTTGGCCCATAGTTACCCTTGACAATTAGACTATAATTACTACTTTTATCTGAGCAATATAATTAGGAAACTGTTCCACTTACCTTAAAATTTGTCACACAAGGTCCAGTGGGTTGTCACCTGAATGATGGTCAATTCTTGTGCTGTGAAGGTCGTGCGTTCTGTCTACATTGAGTGCAAAATATTGTAATCCCAATATCAAATATTGTAATCCAAGTATTGTAATCCCTTTTCCAGTCTTCCTTACAATCCAAAAAGTTATAGTTGTAATCCCATTGAGACCTTATTGGAATCTCAGCAAGTTAATTCCAATCTACCACCTCCAATGCACCCCATGGCGAGAGTGGATGCCAAGACATATTCCAAGTTAAGGGCAGCCAATTGGTCGGGGCCTAAGCCTGACCCCAGTGAAGATATGCAGACAAAGGCCATGATTCAATGCCTCTCCCAGAATTTATCATCTTGTGAAGGGGGTGGCTCAGAGATGAGTGCCAGTGAGGATGGTGAGTAATTTGAGCTGGCTAGCCAGGTGGGGAAAAATAATCATTGAGGGCTGGGGATTTAGCTCAGCGGCATTAGCACCTGTCTTGCAAGCAGGCAGTCATGAGTTCGATCCCCAGTACCGATAAAAAGGAAAAAGAAAAAAAAAAAAAAAAGCGTCATTGCAATATGCAAGAAGGATGACATGTAGAAGGATCAATGTGCATAATTCAATTAAGGTAGCAATTGAATTGTTTGTAGAGGCTATTGCTTCAGTTTCTGATACATAAATTTTTTGGCCCTGGGGACTCAGCCTCATTTCCAGGCTATACCCGGCTGGGATTCCTGGAACTGACTGGCTCTGCCATGTTGCTGTGCTCATATCTTTTACAGAAGACTGTCAGAATGGCCCCAGAAACTACATATCAATACTTTGGCTGGCCTTATTTGCATTGTTTAGAGTTGAAGAGAGAAAGAAATGCCATAGCCAGCTCTGTACATACATGTTGATGGAAATAAGACTCATTTAACTAATGTTGCCGCAATTGTTCTGCAGTCAAGGAGAGGAGCCCATGAAGACTTATACAAATCACTTCTGAGGTTTTCACCCTCTCATATTCCGGCTTCCATGATCCTCCTAACTCTGAATTGTTGTGCTTCAAGCCAGTCAGACTGGCCCATACATGATTTTTGGCCTATTTGTATTGTTATGAGTAGGATGCGTGCTTGTCAGGTCATAAAAACAGAAAAATTAACCTTCTTCCAAGTGTAGGCTTCCTTTCAGTTTCAGCTTGGCTTCAGTACCCAAATATTGTTAATTTTTGTATTTCATCTGGCATCAGAATTGTTATCTCTGTAATACTGATCTTATAGTTATTTTGCAGTGTCAGGGATCAAACCCAGGGCTTTGTACATGTAAAACATATTCTTTGCCACTGAGCCACAATCCCATAATTTTTACAAATTGCAGTAATTTGTTCATTTAGCTTGACAGTATAGTATATAAGACAATATAGTATATAGGACAATAAGTATAGGGACAATATAAATTTTTGTATTACAAAGATTTTTATCTATTCTTTACTCAGAGAAGGTAAAAGTGAACAATCTGTTTCATCTGCTTTTCTATTTCTCTGAATATTTTTTATACTTTTTTATTTAAAGAGAAAAAGAAAAAACAGAAAAAGGGTACAAGTAATACAAAATTTAAAAAAAAACAGTAAGAAATCACTAGTTAATAGATTACATATTCTCCTCTTAGAAACAGTTGTTCAAGTTACAAAATTGAAGCATATAAAGTGGACTTTCAAACTGAGAGTGCAAACAGTTTTGTTCACTGATCCAAAAAAACTCAGTAATATGGTCATCTATCTTATACACTTAAACATATTTGCACTTTAGAGCACTTGCTTTGCTTTTCTTTTGTACAATGACAATTGCACATTTTGGGTTTTATTACTCCCACAGTTCTTATTACTTTTTTTGAAGAGAGTAAAACCAAATGCGACATATCAGAACAGAGTCAGTCAAATCAAAAGGATGGACATAATACATAATGTAAAAACAAAATACGTGATCAACAATGGTTACCATATTCTTGCTATTTTAAGAAGAATTGGCAGTTATAATAAAATTGAACAAAACAGTAAAGAATAAAACCAAAGCATTGGAGACATTACAGGACTTTAAAAGAAGATAATAGTCAACTGGAATGGGCTTCATAATGATTCTTATAGTCTTCACAGTTTTGCCTATACTTTCGAACTTGGTACTATCAAGCAAAGCAGAATAGGGAAAAATCAGTCCAAACAAGATGGTGAGGGCAATACAGGATTTCAAACCAAGTTAATAGGAAATCAAAGTAGGTTACTATAATGTATCCTGCTATTTTTATTTATTTTTCCCTTAAAAAGATAAAAAGAAAAAAAATAATTTTTAAAAAAGGAGGATTGAGATAAAAGAAGGCATAACAACAGAACAGCGCAGGTCAAAACATAACCATTTAAGCAAAATAGTGTTTCACCACAAGATATCCTAACAGAAAAATAGTTACCATAGTGTCTCTTTCCTTGAAATCTTTGAGTATAACTTCGTATACTGTAGCAACAAACATATCAAGACACTATAAAACCATTCAAGAGAATGACATTATTACAGGGTATTTAGGACCAATTAACAGAAAATGAACAATGGTTTCTCTATAATCTCCTTGTCTATAAAAGTTTTTACTTATATTATCATATATAATAAAATCCAATAAGATACAACCTTTTAAGACCGATAGAGACAGAAGCATACAAGTTTGATGGGACTTCAAAACAAGATGATACTAAATCAGCACTAGCTATCATGATGTCTTGTTTTCTCCAAAATAGTTGTTCCTACCATCCAATCTTCTCTGCCTCATTTCTGTTGAGCTATTTTCTGTCATTAGTTGTCAGTTTGTCTTCTTCATTTTGCTTTCTGCTCCATTCATTGTGGCCTCTCTGCCACTATTTCTGGAATCTTGGAATTTTCCTTTTTCGACTATGCTGCAGTATTCTCTGTAGAGTTGAATTAGTGATTGCAAATTCCCCTAGTTCCTCTTTATCCTGGAAGCACCTTGTTTTTCCATCAATTTCTAGGGACAGTTGTGCAGGATATATCAATCTTGGCTGGAGGTTATTATCTTTCAAAGCTTGAATTATTTCCCCCCATGCTCTTCGTAATTTGATGGTTTGTGCCGAGAAGTCTGCTGTAATTCTGATGGGTGTTCCCTTGTAAGTGATCTGTTTCTTGTCTCTGACGGCTTTTAATATTCTGTTCTTATATTGAATTTCTGGAATTTTGATTATTATATGCCTGGGTGTAGTTCTGTTTGGGTTGTAGGTGGCTGGGGTCCTGTATGCCTCCTACATCTGAATATCTTTACCTTTTGCTAAATTAGGGAAATTCTCTTGGATTTTTTCTGTGAATCGCTTTTGTAGTCCATTTGTTTGTGTCCCCACTTCTTTTATGTTCTTAATTTTTAAGTTATAGTTATAGATCCTTTTATCATCTTCTAGCCTTTGTATTGCTGCTGTTTGGTTTTTGTTGTTGTTGTTGTTGTTGTTGTTGTTGTTATTTTTAAGAAGTTTTTCATTCCATGCTCCCATATTACAAATCTGCCCTCCAGGTCAGATAATCTATCCTTAGTTCCTTTCAAGCTGTTATGCCAATTTTCGATAGAGTTTTTAGTTTCCTGGTAATCTCTTTGAACCTGCTTCATGTATTCTATGTTTTCTCTATTTTCTCCATCAAACAGTTCTCCCCTTTTTTTCTTCTTCCATTCCACCATCTGTTTTTTCTTGGGCGGTGCTTAGCATTTCTCTAACTATTCTACTTATATCTTGCTTCAGGTCATTAATAACTTCATTCCTGAACTCGTCTATGAGGCTCTGGAGATAGCGCTTTATGTCTATTGGTGCCATGTCTGATACTGCATGTTTCTCAGGATTGGGGGCCAAGGACCCTTTCTTGTTGCTCCCTCTTCCCATATTTTTTGTTCCTTTTATACAAGCGTATATAGGAGGCCCAGTTTCTTTCTTTGTCAGTTAGTTTTTTGAATTGCGCCTGCTAGGTGTTCCTGCCCACTGCAGTGTACCCGGGAGACACAGACCTGGGCAGCCTCTGCTAGGCCCACCCCTCTAGGTCAACCTACTAAAGGCTTCACTGCTAGGGTGCACCTCCAGGCGCTGGGACCTTGTTTGGGCTAGCCTACTGGGTCTTAGTCAGTGGTGTCATGCAGGTTAGGCACTCCCCACCAATCCCGCTTGAGAGGGGAATGTGTGACTGGAGTCACTGCAGCATCCTGTCCCGGCCAGCCTGCCTGGTCCCAGTATATCCTTTACTGAAGCCTCCTACTCTATGGAAGGGTCCCCGATCCGCTCACTCACCGCAGGTTGATGCAGGGCTCCCGCCCAGTCCCACTCTCAACTCCATTCACTGCTTCCCACTCTCAAAGCTTTCGCGCATCTCTCCTTGCCGTGCTGATTGGGACGCAGCAGCAGCTGCAGGAAATTCAAATCGCAGCTTCCTGTGGCACGGGCTCCAGCTTCCACGCTGAAACCTTATCCATTCCTGTTATATCACTGGGATTACGTTTCCAGTTGGTTTCTCTTTAGTTCGTTCCTGGGTCAGCACAGTATATCTTCCCTTGCTTAGGATTTCTCGCCCGGCACCATTCCTGGATTTTAAGTGCAGTTTCTCAGAGAGCCTCCAAAGCTGCTGCTATCTATCCGCCATGTTCTCCCGGAAGTCTCTATTTTTCTGAATCTTTGACTAAATGTGCTGACAATCAGTCAAATGTTGAGTAACATTTTGCCTCAGTGCAAGGGAACCAAACACTATCTGTTGCATGGAGTGGTATAAAGAATGCATGCTTTTTTGTTGAATTTTTGCATCTGCCACTACTAGGTTTGAGCTCTTAAGTAAACCATATTTAACTCCAATGCTCAGGTTCTTTATTTTCACCAACAAGATGAAAAATGCTACCTTGAGAGGGCTGTGAGAGGACTGTAGGTTAGTGTAGCAGCGGGAGCTTCCCGTACAGTAGACCAGTAGACCACTACACAGCAGGCATTAATCTATTGATGCTCCTTGCTCCATTACTAGCTCAAAGCAAAACTGCCATGAGTGTTTTCTTTGATGAGAATACATACATTATGGGATCAGCAGATGTAACATTGAAAAGTATTTCAACAGGAAAGCAATTACACTAAAGAAGCCAAATCAGAATTAACACCTGCCACTGGGTACATCTTCTCCAAGCCCCTGCCTCAGCGTTACCAGCTCCTCCAATAAAACAGGAATGAATCCAACACAGCCTGGAGAAGACCTATGAGCAGCCTGTCTTATGGTTGTGGAATGTTTCCCATGTGTGTAACACTCTACATTCAAAGAGCACTTTGGCACACATTACCTCTCTTCATTCAGTGTATTTTTTCAGTTACTTAAATAATCACAGATGCCTTTTTTATTTTTCAGCTCTGTCTACAAAAGATTTAAGAAAAATCATACAAATAAATCTCTTACTATTTTTCTCCAATTAGCCACAGCTCCCACAATATAAATTAAATCAATATATATAATGCCCTTTTCACTGCAGTCCAAGCAAGATCTGCTTATAATCAGAGAAAGAGATACCTGGAGGCAAAACTGCTCTAATGAACAATGCCATTCAAATGGCCATTAATAATAAAAGTTAACTAAAATAAGCCTGAAAACTGTCAGATTTCCCCAGACCAATTTGTACCATTCATGAAATTTTTGCAAACTTGACAAGAGAATAAGTGATCTCTTGGGCCCAGGCCAACAATGTTATGAAGCCACTGATAAAAACTTTCTCACAGTAAAAAGAAAACTGTTAACTTCCAGATTTACCATGTTTTAGAAATTCTTTCACTTTGTAAGAGTACCCAGTAGATTATTTTTCACTTCCCAAGTATATTACTAGTAAAATAAAGATCGGATCTCTTTTCTCCCTCTCTATATATATTTATATTTACTTAAATTGCCTTCACTTATACATATTTACTTCAAAGACTTCTTAGATCCCCTTGATTCTAATTCATTCTTGTTATGTTTCATTACTGAGCCACCTAACCATATCTTTATTTGCCATTTTCTTTCCACAAAATACAAGGGAGAAATCTACTCAAAGGGCATCCATTTGTTGTAAAATTATTATTTTTTAATATTAAGCTTATAGGCTTTTTATAAATTCTTCTACCACCCTAAAGAAGGTATGGGTAAAATATCAATTCTGTTGTTACAAGACTATCGGGACAAACTGAGCCGATGGTTTACATCTGACACATCACCCAAAAGTCTCTCTTTCAGAGGTGTGTCCAGGTCAGAAGAGAAGGACCCTGAAGACAGGACTGGATGAATATGCCCTTGTCCTTGGCTCTGCCCTCCTTTCTCTGCCCCTGGCGTTGTGAGGTAAGCAGCTTCCCTCCTCCAGCTCCTCCACCTTGTGATTTCTGCCTTAGAGCCAGCTAATAGTGAAGTGAACCCCTTAAACCAACATGAACCTCCGGTATTTCATCCCAGGAATAAGAAAGCCACTAATACAAGAACTCTACTGGTATGTCCTGCTTTAAGAACATTAAGCATGCATGGGGCAAGGGTATAGCTCAGTGGCACAGTGCCTGCCTGGCAAGTGTGGGGTCTGGAACTTGATTCCTGGTGCAAAAAAAAGAAAGAACATTAAGAAGGAACTTACCTAATCTTATAAATTTCAATGGGGGATAAGTCCTGCTCTCCAAGTGTTGCAGAATTTCCGAGAAACTGGGGAGACCAAGAGAACATCAATGGTGTGCCATTAGAAAAGCTCAATAGGAGGCTGGGCCCTGGACCAAAGAGTGGTCCTGTTTTATACAACCTGTGACGTCAAGCAAGCAGAGCTACAGAAGAAAACAAAGGAGGACATTCATCCCAGAGCTAGCCCCAGTCTTAGCCTCTAAGGAAAACATGATTTGCGCATCTCAGGATGTTAGGGCAGGATGCTGTGAAGCTTGTTTATAACCCCATCTGTTAGTTTTATGGACGATGCCTCCCAGGATTGCCCCTCTGAGGGCGGATTCCCTTGAGAGAGCTGCCTGAAGTGTCCCCCTTATCAGGGAGAAAGCTCAACCCACATTCCTGAGGGAGGGGCTGCCAAGGAGCTGCTTGCCTGAGCTGGGAACATTTTGCAGAGAGAGGAAGAGGCTAGGTTTCTCTCCAGAGTTTTGCATTACAAGTATTTTTTGTTTTAACAAAAGAATGTTCTGAAAGGGTAAAATGCACAGTATTTTAATGCAACTAAACTGAATTTTATTTACTAAAAATTAAGTTCAATACAATTTTGTGGGTACATTTCCAATGCACAATGCCACATATAAGCACTAGCCTTTAGTACATTATTTTTGTTTGAGACCAGCTGAACCAATGATCACCTGTAAAGAACTATTCTTTGAAAGTTCTAAGCCAATCGGAATGTGAACCCTCACTGTTATAATTTCTCTCAGACATACTGAGAATTAAAAATTAAGACATACTGAGAAATAAGAATTGTGCAAGAATTAGGGAAAATTCACATTTAAGGGTACACCTTTCGAAAATCCCCATACACATAGAATATAGGAAAAGTTCACTTAACATGCTTATTTCAGATTTTTATGTGTCATGTGATATAGAAAATAAAAACTCATATTTATAAGGAAAAACAAACCAGTCTCTTTCAGCGTATTTCCAACATGTTCAAATATGATTACCGGTACATTGGGAATACAGTGAGTTCTCAATCCTAGCTTTTCAACAAAATATCATTTAACTTCAAAGGATTTATCTTCTCACTGCCTCACTTTATCATCTCCAACCAGAGCAGATGAGAACAGGGTCCTTAACAACTCTTAAAAAGCTGATTCTTCTTCCTCAAAATATTCTGCTAAGAATACTCCCAATGTAACAACAAAAAGTCCACCATAAGTAAATTACTCTGTCAGGTTTTCATTTTATAAATGCTTTCTTTCATGATTCACACCCAGTTATCTCTATTCTTCTATTTCCATGTTTTCTTTCCCATTATCCAAAGTAGCTGTCATCATCCAGCCCATTCAGTTCAGACTGTTTATCCATCCACACTGCTGTCTCCCGTTCCTGACATACTCCTCCCTCTCTACTTTACTGAAAAAAACACAGCAGCAGCAGTTAGAAACAATCCCATAATGTCTTTGGTAAAATTGATCTGCAGTAATTCGTTCAAAAAGAAGAATTTTAAATGTCAGCTTACCATTGTTAGATGTACCATTTAAATTTCCAAGCAGGCAATATTTACTTAAAATAAGCTTAATATTTATACAATAAAAATTTGATATATTGCGTACTTAATATGTATATTTTATTACTTACATCGTATATACTTCATATAATCTTTATTTTAAACCTGAATGAAGACAAATCTCACATTTGTCCCATTTCATCACCAGACAGTTTACTGGTAACTAAAAACAGCCTAGAGAAAAGGGAAAAGGAGGTAGAAAAAGCAGAATGTCCCACTCTGGGGAGGTGGCTGGAGTCGCTTTGGAACCAGTGAACCAACTGCCCCTTGAGTGTGGGATGGGAGTGGTATTTTACCTTTCTGCATTTTGGCACTCTGGGTAGTAAGTAGGGTGTATGTGTCTCTGTAAACCAAAAAGAAGGAAGTGGAGAATTTACCAAGGAGACAACTCAATGGGAAATGGTTTTAAAGAAACAACCCAAATCAGGGAAATAGTACAGCAGGGATGGGAAGGGGAAGGCATATAAGACTCCGCAAAGCAAACCATTGCTGTCAACCATTTCTAATACACTGGGGGTTGTGCTGAAACTGTCACTGGCCCAGCCCGTTATCCAGCTTGGCAGTGTTGATACTCTTAGTGTTGAAAGGCACGACTAACTTTTCCATAAAAACTAATGAATTATGGTTGGATAGATTATTTTTTAAAAATTATAGAATCCATCTTGGCTGCTTTCTCTCTCTCATTTGCATTTCTTGCTCTGGGGAAACCAATTGCCATGCCCTGAGGCAGCATGGTACAGAGGCCATGTGAATAAACACAGGATCAGATTTCCTGTTGTCAGCTGCCACATCAGTAAACCTAGAGTGAGATTCCCACCCCTTCACCAAACCCTGAAAGAACTGTACCTCCAGTCTACACCTTGATTGGCATGGCCTGACCCGAGAGATCACTCTGAAACTACCTAGGCAAACTGTTTTCAGATCCTTAACTCGCAGAGATTTTGAGAAGGTTAAAGTTTCTTATTTTAGCTCCTAAGTTTGGGATAATATTTGAGCAGTAAATGATAACGAATACAAACCACAGCAAATACAGAACAAAGGTAAAATCCTGCATCAGGTCAATGGAAAAGTCAGAGTCAAGGTGAACAAGAGAGGGATGAAAAGCTGTTGATATCCAAGCAGAAAAGACATCAGGCACCTCACAGACATGTCCCCCACCGTAACACTAGGTATCATTTTCCTGGTGCACCCAAGTAGCCCAAGGTGCAGAAGATGCCAGTAATTTGCTCACCATTACACAACTAGTCAATAGCAAACACCACATTTTGAACTCTGAACTATCTGAATCTGACTACCTGCTTCTTCTTCAAACCTAACTGCAGTGAAAAAGGAAAGCAGATACTTCATAGCACCGATAATGAGAGAAAATGGACCTGGCTGAACCTTTCAAGCGCATGCCTAGTATTTCAGTGTGCTAAGAGCTCAGGTAGGGTATGAGCAGGGTGCTTTTGGAACACAGACAGCAATATTTCACTCTGCTTAAAGTAGCATGTGTGGCGGAGGAGAACCCTACAGAGGAAAGCACTCCAGCATTCATAGCACAGCTTCCCTGGTACTCTTGGGTTCTCGATGTGTCCTGACATCAGCTCAGATCAGCTAATGCTTGTGATCTAGACAAACTTACCTCTTGTTGCCAGGGTTTTATTTTAATCTTAATTATTAAACTAGGCCATGCATATACACTGTTTGGCACAGTTATTTATATAGTAAGCATTTAGTATATCTTTATAACTCAAAATTCTATTATTACTGTTTTTGAAATGGACTTTCTCTTCTTAAATGTGTGCCATCTATTCCCATTGGTCAAAGTGGTTTTTGAGGGGAGGAAAAATATCATAACTGAGCAATAGCAGAACGAAGGAAAAGAGAGCAGAGACTGTCAGAAAAAGTAGTAAAAACAAAAGATGTGTGTCTGTGAGATAATGATTGCGTGATGCAAATGAACAACAGAGATGGGAGGAGTCTGACATGAGGGCTCTCTGGGCAGCAAAGACTGACTTCTGATTCACAGTAACACTATATGAAAAAACATTATCAGATCCACAACTATTCCGCAAACTGACTTGCTCTTCCATTCAGCAGATGCTGAAACCCTGGTGTATCACCAGGCTCCAGGAGACAGTACTGCAAAGCTCAGAGATAACTAGATGTGCGGTGGGGATCTAACCTCACTCCTAAGGATTCACTGTGTCGCAGGCTTCACTTACTGCTGATGGGGTTTGTGGGAATGATTAGATCATGAGTTTTCTAACCTTGTCAAGAAGATTAACCCACTGATGAGTTCATTGCTGAATGAGTTGTTACAAAGGGAGGCCCAGCCAGAGGAAGTAGGAGACTCCTAGTTGGAAGCATGCCTTGGAGTGGTAGATCTTGTCCATGTGGCCCCTGCATCTCTGAGTATCTTGCCATCCCTGCTTTCTGGCTGTCATGAGAACAGTTTTCCTCTGACATGTCCTTGCACCATGATGTTTCTACCTTGCACAAGTCTAAAGCAAGGGAGCCAACATAGTATGGACTAAACCCTCTGTAATCATAAGCCAAAACAAACCTTTCCTCCTTTACACCAACTTCTCTGGTCCTTTGTCACAGTGAGACAACAAAACAAAACAACATATAATGTACGAAATAAAACTAATAAAGTACGAAGACATTTAAACTGCCATGACTTCTAGGAAAACATTAAAACAAGAACACAGAAAAATAGAAGGAGGTGTGCTGCTTTAGCTAGGGCAATAAGGAAGTCCTGGTTGGTGCTTGAAATGACGGCCCCACTCCTCCTCAGTGCCCTTCCTGTATTGAAAGAAGGAAGATGAAAGGAAACTTAAAAGTAGAAAGTAATAAACTCCCCACAAACAACCAGTATTAGCAACTGGCAACATCATTACGGACCTCTCTGAATGCATAATATAGAAAGACAGAAAACTGACAGCTATGTGAACAACATAGAAACAGAAATAAGCAGATATGAACAGAAATCACTTTATCCTACAGGTAGGATAATACTGTACATGTTTTAAAAATTCTCAGCCTAACTTACTTTCTTTTAACAAGGAAAAAACAGAAGTTCTCAAATTATTAAACCTTAGACTAATGTTTCATTACCCCCAAAATACTAATTCATAAAGGAGTCTTCTAAAAATAAAGAAAAGTAGACATTAAAGTTTTTTAAGTTTGGTGGCATTAGGGTGGTGCAGAAGAGGGATGTTATATTTTTCACATTTCGTACTGATTTGCTCTAACTGGAAAAGATTAGCGCCCTTGCCTCTCCTCCTGATTCTTTTGTTGTTTTATATTCTCTCCTGGAGCCAGAATTGATCTAGTAATGCAGGGTTACTTCTGTCATTGGCTCCCACTGGTCTCTTTGCTCTCAGTCTTAGCATTTTATACAGCAAGTAGCTTTTTAGTATGCTACAGTCCAAGAGCATGTACCCATGCCCCATCACCCAATTCACCTGCTGAACTTTTAGTCTCCAAGTTGATGGTATTGAGGGGGCCTTTGAGAATCAGTCAGTTTGTGACTCTACCCCATGAAGTCAGAAGGAAGATACTGTCAAGTGCCTTGATCTTGACTTCTAGTCTCCAAAACTGAGCAATACATTTCTGCCATTTATAAATTATCCAGGCCAAAGTATTTTATAGTAATAGCCACAGACTAAGACATGACACCTCTAAATGGAAAACAAAAGAAGA